GACCACAGGGCTCCCAGCGCCAATTGCAGCCCCGCCTCCCAGTTGCTTCCCCACCCCCGCCAGGTTTCCATCCGGCGCCCAGCCGGAAATTCAGAAAATACCAGACATTGCACGTGTCCAGTATTTTCTGAATTTTTCTACCGGACAGACGGTGCAAATCCTGAACTGTCTGGTAGAAAGTCGGACACCAGGCGACTGTACGAATATGCTGGGGGCAGTTATGGAGACAAACTTCAGAACTGTTGGACACGCTGCGTCATGTTGAACTCTCTGAATGTTACAGTGAAACACATGCCCACCACCTAAGAGCATTCACCAGGTAGTGAGCCTGGACAAGGCCACTGTTTTAAGGGTTAAAGCCTGAAAGAGACTAAGACAGGGTTGGGCCTTACCATGAGGCAAACTAAGGCGGCTGCCTCAGGTCCCAGATTGAGGGGAAAGGGGGGGGACCACTAGGACCCAGAGCATAGAAAATTGTGTCTGCTGCTGGTGCATGTGTATTCCCTCTGCAGTCCCATGAGAGTAGAACAGGAAGGAGGCAGAATTGAGACCTTTCAAAGTTCTGACCCAAGCGAGGGGACATGGGGGGCGTCATTTGAGCTCCCCGCCTCAGGTGCCGGCCCTGCTCCTGGGCTCCTTGAAAATACTTCATCCAGCCTGCAAAGCAGCACCCCAAGCAAGCAGGCTAATTCGAGCGGAAAGAAAGCAACATGCCTGCAGGTGTTGCCAGGCACTGGGACAACTCCGATCACTGCTTTGTGTTGTCGCCATTTGCTGTGGTGGAATTTTTATCTCCAGTGCCGGGTAAATAACAACAAGCAGCACGCTCTTATTCCTTCTGGGCTCGTGTTTCTCCACACGCCAGCAAAGCCTGCGCGTAGTGTTACCAGCGACCGCGCCAAAATGGCTGTGCCTCGTCCTGTCGGGAGCCCCCAGCAAGTGCCGCATGAACAGGAAGAAAATTCCGGCACGAGGATTCCCTCGGTGCACTCCTCCCGCAAGCTGCCCAGGCTCCGGGCTGGGCGGTGCTGGCAGCTCCGTGACAGAAGCTCTGAGCCACCTTGAGGATGATTCCTTGATGACAATTTCACAGGCTGTCAGTGACCGTTGTGCCTGAGTGGGCCTGCTGAAGGGTAATGGGATTTAATTGCTCTTTGGAGGAGAGGAGACACTGTTTTTTGGGGGGGGGGGCACTGTGAGATGCATTTAAAAAGAGCTTTATGAGGTGAGGCTGGGAGCAGGGAGAAAGGGGGAGGAATGAAAATGGATATTCATTTCTATAGTGGACTGAAGCAGCTTCTGAAAGCAAGCAAAATCCAAAAGGCATTTTTAAAGTCATTTCTCGATTAGGGTGCGGATCCTCTTCCGGTGGAAACCAGGGTCGGGGCATTGGAGCCGGTGGAGCTGCTAGGTCCATTTACTCCACTTAGAATCTAGCCCCATCTTGTCTGAATTTTGTTTCTTTGGGGTTTTGTTGTTGCTGTGTGTCAAGATCCCCTCCCAAGAGCAGGAGGCTAGGGGGCAGTGCAAGGCTAATTTGCTTGCTCATCAACTCTGGAGTTCCAACCTGCTTTTGGTCATAGGTGACTGGAATTTGATCACATTGCTCCAGTCCCTAGTGGATGTTTGTCTGCATCACACGATCGTCCCACAATTTAATTTGGCACCATCTGGTGCTCTCGGCTCAGTGTATGGAATGGCAGGGAAGAGAGTAAGGGCAGATCTGACACTGTTACTGTGGGGAGAATCTATCCATACTGTACCACCGCTATCAGTTGCTCTCATTTTCATGGGCATTAAAATTCACTCCCTCCCTGTGGGGGCGTTGGGAGAAAGGAAATCTTAGCCCCTGCCGTCCTCAGCAAGCATCCTAGCCGTGGTCCAAGGTCACTCTAACTTTCCCTCTTTGTTCCCCTTCCCTGCTCCCCTGACTGGTGAGTGGAGCCCTGGCAAATCCAATTTATTTATTCATTTTTCATTCTTAGCTGCACATTTGAAACTCTAACTTACGCCTGGGGAAATGAGCGGCAACCTCCCAGAGGCAGAACTCCCTTAGAGAGAAAAGGGGCCATCAGAGATACAGATTGATAGTATAAGCCAGCACTACAAAGACCCAAGAGTGTTGCTCCGTATTGAAAAGGACCATAAAGGAAACTGCATTGGAAACAGTCTAAATAAAAACACCACCGATGTTATCGCTAGCAGAAATATTGATCTTTGTTGAAAATAGTTTTTACTCTTTGTTCCATGCTACTTCTGTAATTTATTTATTAAGAGCTGTCTTAAGGAAAGTCACCGTTCCTAGTTTAAACATTCCTCTTTAATATACCCTTTCAAACACGTTGCATAGGTCTAGTGAGATTATTTGGTTTTGGGGTGTTTTTTTAAATGTATTTCAGCAAATGAATCATTTCTAACATTTTGGAGATCATGAAGTTCTTGTATGGTGTGTGTTTTCAGAATATTGTTGTAGAAAGCTAATGTAATGCTACAGGTAATTTAATCCTTGTGCTTCACAATGTAAGGTGCTTGTATAGTTGGCTCAAAATGGACCGCTGTTCATCTCCTTTCACCACCCAAGCACAGATCTGCACAAATCTCTAGGCCAGGTCTACACTAGACCTGAAGGTCGGGTTAAGGTACGCAACTGGAGTCAGCTTGGCACCATTTTCACAGATAGAGGCTAGTGGGAGCAAACACTCCTGTTGGCTTCCCTTACTCCTCACAAAGGGAGGGGTGCCTGATGTTGGTGGAAGAGGCTTTGAGTTCGATTTAGCGAGTCTTAACTAGACTCGCTAAATCAAACTCTGGATGATCGATTGCAGTAGCAATGATCTTCTATGTAGTGAAGATAAGCCCCAGGGTTACATGGTGTGGGAAGTGTCTCCTTTCTCTTATGCACTGGGGATTACTAGTCTAGACTATATAAACCCATGTGTGCTGCTGCTGTATGGTACGGGAATGATACTTTTCTTGGCAGCACTGATAATCAATGTCACAGGCAGTATCCTGGACAAGAGCTGGATGATTCTGGAGGGAAAATCGTTTATTTGGAAAAAATGTAGTTTTGGATTGACCCAAACAATCTGTGGCGTACCATCCCATTAAGTGACTAGTTTTGGCTGAAATTCTGTCTTTTTCACATTTTGAAAAAGCTGAAACATTTCGTTGTGACACTTTTGAACAAAAGGTTCAGGCTTTTCACTTCAAAATGATGCTTTGTTTTGAAATTTAGCTGGAGTTGTTTAAATACAAAATTTAAAAAGAAAAACACATGAAAAACAAAGTGTGTGTCTCTTTGTGTGCGTGTGTGTGTGGGGGGGAGGGAGGGCAGGATTTGAATACTTTTGGAATTGAATGAAACATTTTGCTTGACCTGTAACAGGTTTTTTTGGGGGTTGGATGTTTTTATTTTGTTTACTGAACTAAAAAACCTATGGGGGAATTGCTCAGCTTTACCAGGGACTACACAAGTTTATGGCCTGATGCAGTATTACAATCCCACGTTAAAGAAGTAAATGGCTAAATGGGCTAAGCATGCCTAGATTTCCATGACTCATCCGCTTGAATCATGCCAAGATTTGTTTTTTCATCGGCCCAGGGCTGACAAAAAATGATATCCAGGGAGTTTGCAAGGCAAGACTATGTTGGGCAGGCCCTTAGAAATCAAAATCTTATCGTTTCTCTGTGACCATTGATCTTATGACACTTCCATATGTGCATTTGGGATGGGATTTGCTGTAGGCTCCTTGGCCAAAATTTTCCGAAGAAGAGACAGCTTACATTTGGTTTGGCATTTGTTGCTTTGCAAAGTATATAGCTGGAAAATCAATTTTATTCCATGGATGGTGGATTTATGTGTGATGGGGTGTGGTCACAGAAGCCCCCTAGGGGGGCATTTCCCAGAGTGGTGACATTGGCCACTGCCACTCAACTTCCCGCTCTCTGGGGTTTCTCATCACTCAGTCCTGCTGGGCCAGCTCTGCTGGTCTCCCTTAGCCAAGGCACCAGGCTGAGATCACTGCCCTCCCTTCCCCCCCCC